CATCCATGGCTTTGCAGAGAAGCTGTCTCGAAATATAGATAGATAGATAGATAGATAGATAGATAGATAGATAGATAGATAGATAGATAGATAGATAGATAGATAGGTAAGTGGTAAAAGGAAAAGAATTTTCTAGGAACACTCTGTGCACAGAAACATAGCCCCAGCTCTCCCTTGCCACTGCCAGGTTGGCTGTGAAATCTTCCTTTCTGCTTATAACTTGTGTACGAACTTCCTTGAGTTGGCTTCTATCAATCACTAAAACTCATCAGTGTACCATTAAGTGAAGCAATGGTGGCTTACAAGTTTGACTTGGTGCCTGAATCCAGAGTTTGCCTCTCCTAGAAGCTATAAGGATCCTGTGCCCCATTGCCCCCATGACCATTGGGGCCCAGTGTCCTTACCTAAAAGAACTTCAGTCCTAGTAAGGGTCCTTTTCAATCTGTCCTCAAGTGTCATGTCACTAAACTGAACATCCTCACCACTGCATTTCCCATGTCACCTGGCATTGGCCTCTTCTTCCCAGGGACCTGTAGTCTTAGAAGTTCCTCTTTTCAACCAGTTCAGGCCTCCTCCAAGAAGATACCCTCCTTAACCTATAGGCTCCTTGGTGCCCTCCATCTGTCCTTTCACCCAACCATTACACTTATGTGTGTCTCCAAATCTCTGTCATCTTGCAGACTGCTGCCTCAATTTTTCACTGTTCATATCTAACCCAGCTATGTATTATCTTAATCATCTACATCCTGCAGACCTAACAAGGCATAGTGACCCATGAAGGATACCTCAACTTGAGATGGATGGATTCCCCATACAGCAAAGTGGCCTATAGTGACACAATGGCCCTCGCCGCTCTGAAATGTACTACCTAGCCTGCTGATACAGAGGCAGTAGTCTTTTTGGTCTTCACTATCCTCCATCTTCTGATCCTACTTCCTGTGTCTAGGGGCGAGCTAAGGCTTGAGTGGCTTTTCCTAGAAAAAAAAGTATACCCATCATATGATAGACCCCAAATCTGTCCCTCTACACCACTCTCCTTTCAGAGACAACTGCCTCTCCAACGTACTTGCCACTGCGCCCTATCAGTTCCCCTGCCGCACCCAGTCTTTGCCTGCCTTCAAAATTTTGCCATTGGGATCAAACCTCAAATTTATACCTTGAAACAATATCTCTTCATGAAGTTGCCACCTTTTTGCCCCCAAGAAAATGTCAGTTCATAACAGTAGCAAAATTACTGTTAGGAAGTAGCAATGAAAATAATTTTATGGTTGGCAGTCACCATAGAGTGAGGAGCTGTATTAAAGGGTTGAAGCATTAGGAAGGTTGAGAATTGCCAGTCTAAAGTCTTCCCCAATGTTGCCAATACCAACCAACTCTATGACCCCAGCGTAGACTCCCCCAGAAAACTCTTGTCTACTCCTTGACCCTCGTTTCAATAATCAGAGGTGCTGGGGTCCCTGCTAGCCTGCACATTACTCCTAAAGGCAACTTCTGTAACTAAAGGTAAATTTAGAAGGTGCTCGGGTCTTCCCAGAAGGCCACATGGGCAATTGTATACAACAGATGTCAAATGATGTGCTATATAGGTGACTATCAGACCACAGTGGGAGAAAAAAAAAAAAAAAAAGGAGCAGAATAAACAGAAAGGCCAAAACCCAAACATTGATAGAGACAGAATTTAAGTGCATTTTTCTTTTTTAAACGCATTAAGGATTGAAAACACAGACTTCCTCTTGAATTCATTCGACCAAGAATGAACTCAAATTTGAATTCTCCACTTCTCTTCCCGTGTCTTCCATCCGTCCCTAACAAAGGGAAGGAATGAGACATTCTATACAGAAAATGTAAAGAGTTTTTACAAGGAAGAATCGATATCATTGCTCCCAAGTAGCCCAGAATAGTCAACAAAAACTGCAAACAAATGCAGCCAACCTATATCCGCATATTGGCAATGCTTCTACTAGGTATTTATTGTATAAGGTTGCTTTTAACTGTTGACCATTTTCAGCGAATGATTACAATAACATATACATTACTCTGTATCCCAGGCAGGGAAGAATATATAATTTAAGATTAAAGCTATGTGCTAGTTTAGTCAGTAAAAGCTGATTGCATCAGAAATCCAAGGCATATTGATGCTGTTTGTTATATTGCTTTTTAATAGCACATTAAATTCAAACAGGGCTTTTAATTCCAGAACTTGGGAGGCAGGTCTCTGTGAACTCCGGCCAGACAGTAGACAGGGATACATAGTGAGACCTTGTCTCAAAAAAAAAAAAAAAAAAAAAAATTAAGTTATTAAAAAAAAAAAAAAAGGCTGAGTGCACAGTAAAATGGGAGGTTAGTCTTTTCTTTTCTTTTCTTTTCTTTTCTTTTCTTTTCTTTTCTTTTCTTTCCTTTTCTTTTCTTTTCGTTTGAGGCAGGGTTTCTCTGTTTAACAGTGTCCTGGTTGTCCTGGACTTTGTAGACCAGGCCAGCCTCAAACTCACAGAGATCTGCCTGCCTCTGCCTCCCAGGTACTGAGATTAAAGGCATGTGTCACCATGCCCTGCTATCACAGTTTAAGTCTTAAATAATCTCAAGGCATACTTTTTTTCCCCCTGGGCCATGGCATGTGTGTAGAAGTTGGAGGACAGCTTCTTAGAGTCACTTCTGTCCACACTGTGGGTTCTGGGGATCAAACACAAGTTATTAGGCTTGGTGGCAAGTGCCTTTATCCACTAAGTCATCTCTCCAGCCCACTGAATGTATTTTGCACCCATTGGTAGATGAATGACATGACAGGATTTGTATTTTGAAAGGCACCCTCTGCTTACCTCTTCCCTGCTGTCCCTTTGGAGTTGGCACACTGTACTCGGCCCCACAGCCTCTTCACCTCTTGGATGATGTTTACAACAGTTCTCAGAACCTAACCATCCCTGAAAAACCCAAAGCTGTTCCAGCCTGCCCCAGCTTAGGCCCACCAACTAAAGGCCTCCTGGACAGGCAGACACCTCCATCCAGACAGGCAGCTTACCCTGGGCATGTCCACGCTTTAGCCTCTTTCTGCAACAGCTTCCTGCACTACCAAATAGAAAGGCTGTGTTCAGATCTTCAACCTTCTTGTCACTTCCCTTGCTATTTTCCCTGACCTGTCTCTCCTATTGCCTCCACACCCCTTCCTTTTAAACTCCTTCTAACACTGGCCTCAGTTCCGTGTTCAACTGCTTTCAGGGTCACCATTTTATTTTATTTTTGAAGGGGTTGTGGAAAAAAAACCCAGGACCTTGAACACACAGAACAGCACTCTACCACAAAGGCACATTCCCCGGCCTCGTTTTGCTTGTTTCTTTTTTGGGTGGAGGGGGTCAGGGTTTTGCTATGTAGCCCAGGCTAGTCTTATAACTAGTGATCCTCCTACCTGTTTCCTGAGTGCTGGTTTGCAAGTTTGTGCCAAGATGCTCAGCACTGCTCTTCTTTAATGTAAACCAAACCACTCTTCCCAAAACTGACGAAAATAAGCAAACAGGTGATTATCTGCCAATATTTTCACCAGAAGGTAAAGCAAAGTCTTCAGCACGACTTGCATTCAACACTCATCTATGTATTCACCTGGCAAATGTTTACCGAGCGCCCATGTATGTTCAGCAGGAGGGACAGAATGACCAAGTCCTGGGGAAGCCCCACAGCGAGACAGGGTGAAATAGAAGAGGAAATACAGATGGTCACAGAGATGTTCTTGCAGTCATAGAAATGCTTACAGCAGTGACAGGAGTGTTAAAGAAGAGGACGACAATGACGAAGAGGAAGAAGAAGTAGTAGTTCTATCAGGCTGACAAAGATGCTAAGAATCAATGGCACAGAATCCGTTATGGGTGGATGGTGGATTGACACAAGCATTGTGAAGAACAATTAGGTAAAAAAAGCATATATATGAGCTTGCGATGATAGGGATTTTAGTTGTGGAAAATCTGAAAAAATCACTGAAATTTAAACTGATGAAGGACCAAGGGGGTGAATATGAGCAAAGTACAATAATGTGTTTATGAACGTGTCATAATAAAATCCATAATTTTGTACACTAAAGATTAATAAAAATAAGTAAAAAGGAGGCATGTAGAGGCATTTAAAAAAAAAAAAAAAAAAGGCCAGTTGCTGGGCTCATGGTGCAGACTTATAATCCCAGCTATTCAAAAGGCAGAGACAGGAAGACTTCAGGTTGACTTCCTCCCTAGACTACAGAGGGAGTTCATGGATGGCCTGCGTAGTTTAGGAAGACCCCACCTCAACAAAGAAGGCAAACAAGGTAACTGAGGATGTAGCTCTGGGATAGGTGCTTGCCAGCGGAGAGGGACGGGGTGGGTAGGGAGGGGGGGGGGGGGGGGAGAGGCTAATAAAAAAAGCAACTCACAGAATATCTACATATTCAAGTATGTCCCACCGTACGAAAGAATGTCTTTATGCTTACACACACACACTACTCACTTGTGCATGTGTGTGTACACATACAGAGAATACTGTGTGCAGAAGAGAGGAATGAGTCTGTCACCCAGAACACTGCTATGGTGGTGGGGGTGGGGCTCTCTTTGCACTTGCATTACAATTATTTGGAAGTGAGGAACCGTCTGTCTGGGAAACAAGAAGGCAGGCAGCAGTAATCTTCCATTATCTCCTCGGATGCTGGACAACCAAGTCATGCTCCTGGCCTTCAGGAAGAGGTAGCAGGTGGATGTCCTTTGGAGTCAGAACCCAACTCTCTATCCCAGCACTTACCTTTCTGCCTGGTTGGTCACTGGGCCCCACTAGTCTCTGGGAACGTCAGGAACCAGAAAGTACCAGGAGTGATGTGGTACCCCCCCCTCCGCCCCCGAGTTACCCTGGCCAGCTGTAGTGCATTTCCAAGCAGGGATGGACCCCTTGAAGCGACCCCCTGTGGCTTTACTGCTTCCTGCTAGGCAGAAGTGGCTGTTAAGAGAGCTTGGCTAAGGCAGCCCACCCGGGTGGAGGACGCCCCGCCCCATCAGCGGCGAGCCCCGCCTTCAGCTCCAAAGACTACTTAGCGCTGGAAGTGCTTCCCAAGCCGGTCTTCCGCTGGACCCCAGAAAGCGAGCTATCCCTGGAGACCACGACCTGACCCACAGGCTCCACTGCGTGCTCTGCGAACTGCCAACAGACCCCAGCCCCGCCTGCTGTCTCTAAATCTCGGGACTTGTGCCCCGACAGACAACAGACGCCGGTACCAACCAATCTTCCAACGACCCTAGTGCCCGGGTGGAGAAGGGCTCCCCAACTGGTGGGCGAGGAGGGTTGGCTCCAGGCCAGAGTTGCCCTCCTCCAACCCATTTGCCGGTTTCACCGCATTCTTCTTCCACAGCTCAGCCCGCCATGGCCCAGTTGCTGATGGTCACGGTAACCCTCGGTTGCATCAGCCTCCTCTACCTGCTCCCGGGCACGCTGTCTGGCGGCCTGGCCAAGGGACTGAGGCTCTCCAGATCCAGGTGAGTACAACGGTTGGACCATCCTCCTCTTGGGGACCTAACTTCTCTAGAGCTCATCTCCCACATCAGGGGCCACCCTCCCACCTTTAGTGTTCCCTGAACAAGGCAAGTGGACTTTTTCTTCTTTGCTTCTTTCTGCTTGGGGTACTTATTTCCCACCCTAACCCCCGCCCCCATACAATAGCCCTTCCGCGGGAGGAAGGGAGGCTAAATGCATTCTCAGGCCTGCTGGCTTCTGACCGCTAAGGGAAGAACCCAGGGTGCGGGGGTCTTTCTGAATTCGTAGAGCAGTGCACACAGAGCCTAAGTGACTTGGGGACCTTTGCCCAGAACGGTGCTGTTAATAGTACATGTGACTTGGGCTACTGAGATGGCCAAGCTGCCAGTAAGCTTGGAAGGGTGGCGGGCTGCCCCTCTCAGTCTTCAGGTTGGAGACCAAGCTTTGGGCTTCCCCTGGTCCCAGGCCAGCCTTTTAGGGAAGCTTCGGGCTTCCCCTGTCAGGGCCCTCAGACTGTGTAAAGGAGAAGTGAATGGGTTTAAGGGCCTTTGGAAGGCTATACTAAGCCACTGAGTTTCCATCTTCCCTCCCCTTCGGCAGAGAGTCCCCAGCCAAGATTCCCTCCAGTGGCCTGCACCCTGGACACCCTTCGCTCCGGCCTCGTCATGCTCCCCATCCACAGGGAAGGGGTAATCTGGCCCTTGCCGTGGTTCATCTGCATCAGGGTGGTGGCTCACGACAGCCAGGTTCCCAGCGACACTTGGGATCCCGAAGACCCCAGGCCCAGCTTCTTCGGGTGGGCTGCGTACTGGGCACATGCCAAGTCCAGAATCTCAGCCACCGCCTGTGGCAGCTTGTCCGGCCCGCTGGCCGGCGGGACTCAGCTCCAGTGGATCCCAGCAGCCCCCACAGTTACGGCTGAGGTGGGTCCTAGCCGTTCGGCCTGGAGTGCTGTCCCAGAGCTGCAGCTGAGCTCCACACCCTGGCCTGGTTCTCTGGAGCTCCTGCTGGCAGCAGTTTTTCGTGGCTTTGGACACAGTAAACCTGTGAGCATATGTGGATCTAGGCTGTAGAACTGGCAGCGGCAGGGGCCTGTTGCAGACCAGAACTGTGCACGCTCGTGGTCCTTGGAAGAAGCGCTGACGGTACCACATGCCACAAAGAACTTGAAAGGAGGAGTGTGCCTAAAAAAAATAGAGCAAAAGTTAGAGTCTTAAACACAGCCCCACCTAGGAATGAGCAAGAGAAAGGCTAGGCTGGCCCCTGTGACCCCCCCTCCATCCCCCACTGGAAATTAAAGCCTGGCTGTGGGCTAAAGCTGTGGCCACTCTCTCATGCAGTGTACCCTTCTGTACCTATTCTGGAATGATGACCATTCCTTTTGTGTTCTGGGACAGGAGGGGCAAAAAGAAGGGCTATATGCTGTGGTCCCTAGGGTCGGAGTCAGAAAAGAGACGTCCATGGCTGTTGCCAACCTGTAGCCCAGGCCATGGTGGTGATGGGACTCCTGAGACATTCTGGGATCAAGTACAGCAGAGACAAACCTTCTTATCCTCAGACCGGGGTAGGGGATAAGACAAAGTGCCCCATCTCAAAAAAGCATAGTATGACCTCTCCCTGAGCAAAAGGTGGTGCCACAGAGGTGCAGAAGGCTGAGGCAGGAAGATAACAAGTTCATGACCAGTGTAAGCTGTGTAGCAAACCCTTGTCTCAAGAACAAAATTATCCCAAGTTAAGGGAAACCACCACAACAAAAAAACCTATGTCAGGAGAACTAGAGGCATTTAAACAAGGTTGTTTAAATGCCTTCCGCATCCTACCCACCCCCGAACCATGAGGACATCCAGCGGGATCAGGAGTAGGGACAGCAGAATCTGACAGCTTATTCCTTTGTTCCCAGCCAAGAGTCCAAGAAGGGGAGATGGACCACAAATCGCAATCAAGAGGAGAACCAAACTGACCAAAATCACAAGTTCAACACTAGCCTTTGCTACAAAGACTCTGTTAAAGGAAACAAACAAACAAAAAAGTCAGGTTGGGGGGAAGGGGAAGGATGAGCTATTAATCACAACCTGGGAATAGGTTCCTGGTATAAGGTCTTTACATGTGTTATTTCACCCAAACCTTGCAATTGTCCTGTCAGAGCAACAGGGTTCCAAAAAGAGTTGTTAGTTCCTTACCAAGTACTAATGGCTCTTGCACGCACCACCCTCACCCTCTCCCTGGTAGCAGCACTTCATTACTCCAGATCTATAGGCCGTCACACTGAGGTCGGCCGCATGTCCCTGTGACTACGGTATTCGTGCTCGGAGTCAGACCTGCCTTTCAGTGACCAGACGGTCCCCAGAAAGCACCCCTCTGGGTCCTGGAGTAAAGGTGAGGAGTTGAGAACAAGCTGAGGACAGACAGAAACTGTTTCCACGACTCAGATTTGCCAGAACCTCTTAGGTACCCTGGTTCTTGGGCAAGATCCAACCTCGCACTTCTCTTAAGCCTGTGTGGTCTGTTCTTCAGCACAAGATACCTTCTCTTTCAGGAGCAGCATACCTCTTCTCACTGATATTCTGCCAGCCTGGACTCCCAGTCCTGCAGATCGAATCCCGTGAGCGGTCAAGGCCCCTGAGCTCCAGAACTGTAAAGGGGGAGGGCTATTGGCATCCTGTGCAGTGTCAGGAGGTTGCCAGTTATGACCCTTGTATCTGGTATGATGCCAGCCCCACACTGTGCTTGGCTGCGCTTGACTACCTCTCGAGGGCCCCATGCAGAGGTTCAGTGGCTGTGCAGCCCTCCCCGCCCTACCCCCAAGGCCGCGTTCTAGCTGTTTTCACACTCAAAAGTTGTACTGTCCTCACGAACCCATTCAGATACCAGCACCCACCTTTGATTGCTTTGAAGGTCATGACTCTAGCCTTCTCCCAGAAACCCTCACCCTCATCCTGACCACTGTATGTTGAGCATGCAACACATAGAAGACACTGGAGAGCCCAACCCTACCCTCCTAGGGCTGATTTTCACTGGGAAGAGATGGAGGAAAACACGTGGAAAAGGTAGGTAAGAAAAGGCTGATTGCAGTTTACCTGTTAGGCTGTGAAGGGGTTGCTGGTGGCTCATTGCAGCTGCCTAGGGAACCCGCTTAATGTAGGAACAACTTCATTGGCTTCTAACCTGGGAGTCTCACCCTCCCAGTACCTCTTCCCTGCTCCAAGCATGTCATTTTCCAGGCAAGCTGTTTTTGTCTGCTGGATCCTCATTATAAAGAGCCTCCACAGGACTTGAATCCTGGCTTATGTGAGCCCCTTGCCCAGAAGCCCACCATCCTTCTTGGCCAGACCTCAGACAGGCTGTCCTGAGGTCACGGTAGAGCACTTGCCTTGCTTCTGTGAGGCCTTTGGTTTAATACCCACCCCTGCAAAAACAAAATTACTAAATCAACTTGTGGAGAAGCCTGTCTTCCACCTTGATATCTGGCCACCTTCCTGCCTTCAGCAAGAAGCCAGTGAAGATGAAGCAAGGCAGTGGTGACGCATGCCTTTGATCGCAGTACTCAAGCAGAGGCAGGCAGATCTCTGAGTTCAAGGCCAGCCTGGTCTACAGAGGAGTTCTAGGAGAGCCAGGGCTACACAGAGAAACCCTGTGGGTGGTGGTGTGGGGGAAAATCCAATGTATCCCTTTCAGTAAGAGTCCTCCTGTGCCTGGTGTCCCAGCAGCTTCCTACTCTGACCACTGTGTTCATTGGCAGCAAATTCCCATCTGTCTTGATTGTATCGGATCACACTCCCCAACTGTGACAGTCTTAATAAAGTCTTCAAGTCTTTCTTATCATTTTAACAAGTATGATTCTCCTTCTTTGCTGCTCCTCATTTTTGCAGTAGTTAATCTAGGCTTTGGTACATGCTAGACAAGCACCTAATTACTTAGCTGCATCCCCAGCCTATAGTAATTTCTTCTGCTCACCTATAATTCACAGATTCTCTTCAACAAGTTTTTCTTCCTGGGATAAGATGTAGGGAATCAGCCGGGTGGTGGAGGTGCATGCTTTTAATCCTAGCACTTGGGAGGCAGAGGAAGTGAGTTCAAGGCCAGCCTGGTCTACAAAGTGAGTCCAGGACAAGTCAGGGCTATTACATAAAGAAACCCTGTCTCAAAAAAAATAAAAAACAAAACAAAAAAAAAAAAAGGATTAACATGGAGCGGTTGTTAAACATAACAGTAGCATTTTTGGGTTAGTCCTTGTTTTCCTCAAGTCTTAATTTGATGAGTTAAAGTCCTGATGTCTCCCCCAAATTATCAGCTTATTCTCCCTTTTGGGACATTTTCTTATGATGGATTTGTCATCTGCTTTCAGATGTTTCATTTGTCTGGTGGTCTTTGTTCATTTTCTGAAAAGACCTGAGCATAACTTCACCTCAATGTTAAAACACTGGGATCTTTCTTTTTATTTAACATTTATTTTAGGTTGTGTCTCCTTTAGGGAAAATGCTTTTGGGGCAGCAGAAAAAGCATTATCTTTTAAAGTGAAATTATATATATATATATATATATATATATATATATATATATATAATTTAAAGTTATGGCTGGGTGATAGTGGCACATGCCTTTAATCCCACCACCAGGAGGCAAAGACAGACAGATCACTGAGTCTGAGACCAGCCTGGTCTACAGAGTGAATTCCAGAACAGATAGGGCTACACAGAAAAAAAGATGAAAGTTATCATAGCTAAATAGTATGTAAGTACATAGGTGGGTGTAAACACCATCATCTATCTATCTATCTATCTATCTATCTATCTATCTATCTATCTGCCAATTAGTTATCTGATGGTGTCATTCCACAATAGTGTGGCTCTGTGAATAGTAAGGGATTTTTAGTAACAGGATTAATATTTTCTCAAACCCTTTGCTAACATAAGCAGGTACATTATTAGTATTTGACTGTAATGCGCGTCCTAGAAATAAAGAGCTATTTTTTGAGCAATAAAAAAAGAAAGAACTATTTGACAAAGTTAAGTTTCAGATATGATACAATGGGTTTTCCCTGGAGTTTCTGGGCCCTCGAGCCATGCCTGGGGCCATGCTCTGCAGCTGACTAAAGAGAGTGCATGCCTGTAGTGTAGTTTGGATGCATATCGTTAGACATCATGCTGATGTCCAGTGCATGCCTTAAATCCCAGCATCCAGGAGGCAGAGGCAGTCAGATCTTTGTAAATTCAAGGCCAGCCTTGTCTAGAGAGTGAGTCTAGGACAGCCAGAACTATTACACAATTAAAAGAAATCCTGTCTTGAAAAAAAAAAAGGAAGGTGATTGACCTTTAATTTGCATGTCTTACTTATCTTTTAACAGTTTATCACCAGTTAGTGGTTTTTATAAGATTAGGATTTTACAGTTTTACACATATATCTCTAAGTTAATTTTTGTTAACCTGAATATATCTTTATAAGCTTTGAAATGTGTCAGCATATGAAAATCCATCTAATCCAAACTATTTTGCTGTTGCCTCCTTAGTCTAAAAAGAACATATAAATAATAAACAGAGGGCTCAGTAAGACTAAGAAATTTTATAGGTTCTGCCTTGATTAATAACATCCACAGTGGCTGGGTGGTGGTGGTGCACGCCTTTAATCCCAGCTCTCAGGAGGCAGAGGCAGGCTGATCTCTGTGAGTTCGAGGCCACCCTGGTCTGCAAATTTAGTCCAGGACAGTCAGGGCTACACAGAGAAACCCTGTCTAGAAAAACCAAAAAAAGAAAAAAAACAGCCACAGCTGTTCCTAACTTTCCTAGGAGGTTTTTCCTGCCAGCGTTTTCTAGAAGCAGAGATGCCAGCAGTTCAATATTACTGTATGTACTGAAACAGACAGCATTACTGTCATGTTTCAATATGATTGGATTTACTTATTTATTATAACTTATTAATTTTTATTTCATGTTCATTTGTGTTTTGTCTGCATGTGTGTTTGTGTGAAGGTGTCAGATCTCCTGGAACTGGAGTTACAGACAGTTGTGAGCTGCCATGTGGGTGCTGGGAATTGAACCTGTGTCCTCTGGAAGAGCAGCCGATGCTCTTAACTACTGAGCCAACTCTCCAGCTCTGAATGGATGGATTTATTTATTTATTTATTTATTTATTATTTTAAAGCAAGGAAACTGAGCCAAAGGAGAATGTTTTCTACTTTTGTCTCCTTTCCATCTCTATCTCCAAACTACTCATGTCCCATCCATTCCAACCTCTGTTAACTAGACTCCATTTTTAAGTATCTCATTCCAAATATATCATTCCGCTATATCCAACTCCTCCTCCCCTCCCCAGACAGGGTTTCTCTGTGTGGCCCTGGCTGTCCTGGACTCACTTTGTAGACCACACTGGCCTTGAATTTACAAAGATCCACCTGCCTCTACCTCCCTGAGGGCTGGGATTACAGGCATGTACCACCACACCCAGCTCCACTATATCCTCTCTACATCCACAATCCTCCTGCAACACCTTTTCTCTCAAGTGAGGTCACTTTCCATCCTCAGTGCATCTTTATCCTTCATATGCATATATATGAGTTCAGTTAATGTTGAGCCCTAATATTCCTTAACAATACCCGTTTTGGATAAGGATGTGTAAACCGGGGTTCTAAAGCTACCCATATAAATGGAAGACTCCGAGTCTTCTTTAGTCCACCCAATAAACTATCATCTGAATTTAGATAGGTAGCAGAGTCAGTTAAAGTAGCCAATGGTTGGGAAGCATCGACTAAAAGCTGATTACAGTGAGTTTAGATGGTTGAGCTGTATAACCCGGAGTGAGTACAATCTTTTTTTGTGTGGAGTATGTGGACATTGTATATAAAACATAAGCTCCTTGTCCTTTTGAAGAGCCAGCTACAAAAGCATTAAGGGCGATTGCTATAGGATTTTTACATGTAACTTTAGGCAATACCCATAAGGTATTTTTAGAAATTCTTAAAAAGGAAATATTTTAGATAATTATCTGTAGATCCTGAGTAACATGTTAATGTGACCTGTCAATTATTAGCAGTGTGGGACAAATAATTTACCTGTGTTTTATTTAGTGAAAAAATAATTTTTGTATGCTCTTCATCAGTAAGAGATTATTTCCTGAGCTAGTCCCTTGGCAGTCACATTACTTAATAAGCTAATAACCTGCTCTGCTTCAGGTATTATATTTTTATAGAATTTACCTGAGAGCTTCCAGAAAGCAACTTAAAGGAGCAGAGCCAAACCCTCAGTAGCGTTAAACAGATCAGAGTGTACCTAATGATATAGTTAAAAGTTACGAATTTTGCTTTTTTAGTTTATTTATTATGAAAATTAAGCAATCATTTAAGCATTTATTAGATGACCAAGAGAAGAGAACATCCTCCAAATACTGAATGACTAAAACCTCTGACAACATAAACAGTGTGGCTCAGTGCTTGCTGCCCCGGTTGTCATTGTTTCTGTACTAAAGTGGGGCTTGTTTTGATTTTTTTCTCCCATGAAGGGGCCTTTGATATTGAGTTTTTCCTGCTATTAGGGGGGAAAATTCCTATGAAGGGACATTTAGTATTGAGTATTCCCACTATGAGGAAAAAAACAAACAAACACCAACCAACTCTCTCTCTCTTTCTCTCTCTCCCTCTTTGTTCTTTTCAAGACAGTATTTCTCTGTGTAGCCTTCTCTTTCCTGAATTCACTTTGTAGACCAGGTTGGCCTCGAACTCACAGAGATCTGCCTGTCTCTGCCTCCACGAGTACTGGGATTACAGGTGTGTGCCAGTGTGCCTGGCATAACCCTCTTTTTAAAATAATTGACAGGGACTGTATTACTCCCCTTTTCATGAGCTCTCTTTATTTTAGTTCCTCCGTGTATGAAGTTGCAGAGCTATAGCTCTGAATATTTTGTTTGTTTTTGGTTTTTCCAAGACAGGGTTTCTTTGTGTATCCCTGGCTGTCCTGGGATTAGCTCTGTAGACCAGGCTGGACTTGAACTCACAGAGATCTGCCTGCTTCTGCCCCTGGAGTGCTAGGATTAAAGGTATGCACTACCACCATGTGGCTGCTCCTCTGGATCTTAACAAATATTTTAATAGTTGTAAAAAAATGTTTTGCCTCAGAGGACTGAGAAGGGCCCGTATTTAGTTCTACTCTCTCACTTTAAGGTTGAGACCCTTTTCAGTGGGAGGAGCAAGTTTCCCTAACCCTTAATTGCAGAGGAATTTTAATTCAGAACATGACTGTTCTGGCAAGAGATCACATCCAACAACTTTCTAGGTCTGTGTGATCCGGGCTGGCAAGAGATCACAGCCAAAGATCTTCTAGGTCTGTGTGATCTGGCTGGAATACAAACATGCCTTTCATCCAGGGGACAGAGGCAAACAGATCTGAGTTTTAGGTAAAGAAAAGCTTAGATCCAGGCGTGGTCTGGTACATGCCCAAACACTGAAGGTAAAGTTAGTTTGTAGAAGGAAGCGCCCATGTTTGAAGGTGATGTCTAATTGAGTGGCAGAAAAGGTGACAAACCAGAGATTTGACAGAATAGGATACACACCACTTTCATGAGAAGAGAGAGGAAAGGGAAGCTACTTAAGGGGCAATAGAGAGAGAGAGAGAGAGAGAGAGAGAGAGAGAGGAGGCAGTTTTACCAGGACAGTAATAGAGAGTCAGGTTGCAGAGAGAGAACTCAAGTGAAGACCAGATGAGAAGGAGCCATACAATTAGAAAAGATTGCTGGAGTTAGTTTGAGGCCAAGCAGAGTCTGAGTGAGAGAAGCCATGTTGAATCAGTCAGCTGGGAAAGGAGTTTGAGCCAGAACTGCTCATACCAGCCAGGTAC